ACTTTATTTTTTTTCCGGTGATATGTTTTGATACCCAAAATGAATAAAGAAAAATTGCAACTGTGCGACAGTGAATAGAAAAGATATTATATATCTCTATTCTGTCACTCACTCCAACTGTATATACTTAGTCTGTAAATCGGTTATTTTACTGATTTAGTTCTACTGTAAAAAGGTTCAAAAAGCAGCTATAAACTGCAAAAAGTTGGGAGTATGGGCACATAAAATAAGTTGTGGTTTTCTAACATTTCTGGTCATTCAAATATGGCGCACATAGCAAGAGTCGTAGAGAAAAAAGAAACAGACCGCAACCTTGTTACCTTTTTGCGTCATCGCAATCTTCGTTTGTTTTGATACTCTCTTATAAACTTCGTTATATGTTGTCGGTACTGGAGTTGAAGTGAAGTAACGCAATTTCCCTCTTGAGCTGAGGTTTCCCAGAAAATTTTTGCGATTTCAGGTGGTGCTACAGCGATGCATAGGCAAATGGACACATATAAATGATTGTCGATGATTTTGCTGAAAACTGAATGATCATCAAATGATTTGATGACGACTTCGCGCTTGAGTATGTTTATTGAGAGTAAACTGATCAAAATAAGACAATTTCATCGAGTTTCTTATATGATTACTACCTAAGGAACTGTTTTATCAAAAAACGGCGAGTCCGGCTGCTTTTTCTGGCCCAAGAATCGCGGTTCTAGGCAGTTTTTTTCATCAAAAAAAACGCCAACTGTAGTGTAAGCTGTTGATGACCGCAGTTTTGAGCTGCTAAAGCGGCTAGTATGACCCAAACTCCGATGTCTCGACCGGTTTTTAGATGAGTACTGCATTGGAGAAAACCGCATCTGCCAGTTCTAGGCAGTTTTCCGAACAATATCAAAAATAGTGTAGCCGACCGCTGGCCGCGGTTTTGAGCGGGCAAAGCGATTATTTTGAAACAAATTCGGGTGACTACAGCGGTTTTTTACATCCCTTGTAACCGCTCTTTTAGGCGGTTTTCTGTGTTTTTTATCTAAGTTTAGGCCGCCGACAACCGATACTCATGGCCGCTTGGGCCACCGACAACCGGCACTCATGACCGCTTTGGCCGCCGACAACCGCGCAGTCAGCGGCTTTTTTTTATGCTTGGGGCTCTGTGTGTTTGTTAAACTTAACCTTACCAGTATTGTTTTTAATTCGTCGGATTTCTGTTCGTAATCTTTGACTAATTCAACGAATTCTGCTTCTCGTTGTTGACAGCGTTCAACTAATGAGCCATATTGACATCCTGGAGCCACTTTTATAAAAAACTTAAGTTCAACTTAAGTGAAAACCTAAGTTATCTTCCATTCAAAACAACAACGTTTTAAACGAAATTTCATTGAATGCCAATGCATGGAGTTTTTTTGTCAATAATGTTTCTTTGATCTCTCTTTTTCTTTCATGCTTTTCAAATGTCAATACGTTTGGTTCATCAAAAATCATAGTATGTTTCAATGTTCGAACATGATCTACCATTTTTTTATAAAAGTGGCTCCTGGTGAGGACGCTGTATGTTGGCCGCCAAATGTTTTGAAAGCCGACCATACGAGTACGTGTGTAGTACAGACAGAAGGCAAGAAAATAGTACCACGATGTGACAACCTCATCAGGATGTGAATATGCCTCATTCTGCTTCTCGTTGACTTTTAATTTCTCTAATTTCAGTTTTGCTTCGAGTTTTACCATATCAGCTGTATAACTAATATTTTTTGTATACAATCCAAATAAATCAAACTCTTTTCATCACCCGCAACAGCCTAAAAATAAAAGATCGTATATGAGTGAATCGCATATTAATTGTACAATTGGTTGTTTAGTACCGTTTCTGCCATAAATCCGTAGTGGTTTGTCGGATTCCTAAAATTTTTTTTTATTTTACTCATCTCATCACCTCTCACTACCGATAAAATTTTGAGCATTCTACGTTTTCAGGTGAGTGAGATACACGCATGAAAAAGCAGAAAAACGCGTTTTTATCTTGACTAGCATGAATAAAAACGCGATTTTCACATCAAAGACAGATGATAAAGAAAAAGCAGACCAGTGGATCGTGTAGAGCGGAAAATTCTCTATCCATCCATATTATTTACGATTTCGCTTCAGCACTTTGACACAGATTTTTTTAGAGAATTAAGTTTTCTGTACAAATTGTAGGGAGACACCAAAATCGGTCTAACGGATTTAGGCAGCACTTAAGCGTAAAATTCATTGCACCATGAGATAGAGGATCAAAAACACTCCGGAAAACACACAAAAGTATTTTACTAAACGCCTATTAAGTGGTCCAAAAATGACTAAGTTTAGGTTTTTCACTCAGTTTGTAGGGAGAGATTTTGGAACTTGTGTTGTCCATAAGTCAATGAGATTGTATCTAAATTGTTTCAAACTTTCAGAACCAGAAGCAGGTGGGAAGTTGTATGAGTGATAAAAATTTCAGCACTTAAAGTTGATGTCTTCCTAGTAAACTTCGCGTTATGTCGCAAAATGTAGGGAGACTTTTTTTGTAGGGAGAGATTCATTCCGAACTTTTTTCCTATTCATAGCTGTGCAGAACTGAGAAAAGTAAACTTTAATGGGTTTTCGAACACGCTCTTTCTAGTAGAGCAAACAGAACTACATAAAACAAAAGCTTTGGAAGTATTTACCAATAAGCCGAAAAAATCGCAAAGATTCTCTGAAAGCGTTTTTTGACAAGAATAATTCCAACGGGTACACCACCTGCAGGTAATTTTCCCCACTCAATTGCTCCTAAGCTAGTAGATAATGCTGCCTAGAGGTGTCCTGCGTAAACCGTAGGTCTCTATCTTGTTTCTATTAGAAGTTATTTTGAAAATATCAGGGGTCACCGTTAATTTAATACATTAGGAAATTGTACCTCTATTATCTCAGCCGGTAGACCTTTGGTAGTTTGGAAATTTTTACCTGGTACTCAGAAAATTATGGAGAATAGTCTGGTCAACTCAGATTTTTGATAAAGTTACTTACATTTTTTCCCACGAATTGTACAACTAAAATACGATTCACTCATATACATGTTGTACAAAACTTAAAATTGTTTTCTTTCTTTGACTTCACACATCAGCTGAGCGCAAATAAAGTGCATGGCTATAAGGAACGTGGTTAAACAGGACGTTTGTGGCCTGCCTATGCTATAGGCAAAATTCGAATATTAAGTTTGACTAAGTAAGGCAAAATTGGAGTCAGAATGGGTAAAACCGAGACCACGGCTATGGAAGTCCAGAAATTGCTGACATATGCTAAAATCATGCTCTTAGTTTCTTCTGTTGGGTAATGAGTCGTTTTGCTGAACAGGATACTTATCCACTTCACCACGTAAAGGTGGCATGATGGTTGAAGTAGCGGGTTTCTTTTTGGTTCTTTTGAAAAAGAAAAGTCGTATTATCCACAACAAATTCACAAAAAGTTTACTTATTCATAACAGCAGAATTCGCTAAAAGAAACTGTTCATGTACGAAACGTAGGGTATAGAGAAGTGAACCATTTCTAAACCGAAATTTGGGTTCTAGACTCAGAAAACAACGGAGAACACGATGTGCTAATCAAATTTTGTTTAAAGTCACTTTCATTATTTTTCATCAATTGTACAATAAAGTTGCAAATGACTCATATATATATATACTATAAGTGCAACAGTCAAATTAAAAATACAAACATTTTCTTTCTTCCTTTCTATTAATACGCCTTCACCTGGTAAAGGTGTATTAATAAATAATCAAAGTCAGGATTGAGAAATAATGGTGTTGGAACCGTGTCCTAATTACACTATAATTTGGAAGTCATTTCCAGTTTATAATGTTATGAATCGATAAATAATAATACGTTTATTCATAAACACAAGAAAATAGGTCTCAATCAAAAATAGAAAACTAACAAAAATTATCTGTTTTACTTGGTAACAATGGTTTCCAAGCGCAAACTTATAATCAACGCTAACCCATCACATAACATTAGAAAATCGATCTTGAAAATCGTGGAGCTTTTTCTGATATTTCTAAAATACCCGTAGGTTTTCTGCTTTTTTCGAAACTCGTGATTTTCTAAAAATAATTCTCAAGATTCTTGAAATTCCATATCGAATTTCTAAAATGCAATGAGTCATTCAGTTCGCCTTAACTTCAGACAGACAATGGTGTTATTCCATTTAAATTATGAGATTTTAATTTGTCACTGGGTTCTCAACGTTTACTAGAGTCAGTAAGTTTAGAGAAGTTAAAATATCTCTTAAGTGAGCGAGAGATAAGGTTAGAGTAAGATCTAAATAAAAATCACCAGACGCTGTTTGACCTTATCGTCGTCTTGGTATCTTTCAAAACACAAAACGGTTTAAATTCCTTAAAATGAGTATGGTCATTGCTTTCCCAATTTAAAATAAGTGCCTATGATGGGCTTTTGAAAAAGTACTAAACTATAGCTTTATAAAAAAGTGCAAATCCCAGCTTTACTCCCTGCGCTCAGGCCTTAAAAAATTATTAGCGCTCTCTCATACTTCTCCACTGGCTTTGTGTGGATTAACTAAAAAGTCATTGTAAAGTGATACTAATCGGACATTATGTCCTAAGCCCATGCCACCTTTGTCTTCTAGTTCTGAAAAACCGTGCATGAAAATCATCAATCATAAAAATAATTATCAAAAGATACAGTAGAGGAAAACGTGTTTGCTGAAACACTGTCAAAGTGCATAAAGCAATGCTGTAAAATGAGTAAGATCAGTTGTCATGAAAAGACTGAAGTCGAAAAATTAGTTGAGTCATTCTATATCATTTTATTTAGTGTATCTACCCTTTTTGATAATTTTTAATATCTCAGTCCTGACTTTGATTATTTATTAATACACCTTTACCAGGAGAAGGCGTATTAATAGAAAGGAAGAAAGAAAATGTTTGTATTTTTAATTTGACTGTTGCACTTATAGTATATATATGTACATTAGGCTCTTTCACGCTACTTTTTAAAAGATGTCGAACAAACTTCAACGCTTCTATAGTGTACAGAATTATGGTTACATCGTTAATGAAGCAAACGAGGTTACTCCTACCACTGTCCCTAAGCATCCAAAGAATTATTTTCGGTCACTCTCTTACACATTATCAAAAGGTGAGAGAACCATTGATAAACAGGAGGAACAAGCGAATGTAATTGATAAGTTATTGAAAACAAAACTAACTCGTGTTGTATCAATACCAAACAATGATAGCAAGGATATTATCATTCAACCGATATCATCACATCATACAACTATTGAAACCGGCATCACTCATCATGCAATAAAGCCTGGTAGACAACGATGGAGATGGAATTTATTATTTAATTTACTCGTTTGGCTAATTGTACCATTCCCATTGTGGATACCATTTCTGTCTAATCAATTAGCTCTCTACGTCATACCAGTAATTCAGACCATTTTTGTATTTATGTGGGTGATTATAGCTATATTAGCAATGAAAAATGCCATCATCTTGTATATGTAGGTATTATGTTTTTACTTATGAAAATAACTATTTCTGATTTTTCTCTACTAATAGAAATCGAACTCACAATTTTATTAATGATTATTTAACATCATCCATCACTATTCGCCATCTTGTTGCTATTAGTTGCTATAAAGAACCAGTTGAGCTGATTCTACGCAGTATTCAAACTATAGCAAATCAAACAGAAGTTAAACGAATAACGATGGTCATCTCATTCGAAGAGCGTACACCCAACGTCAATGAAAAATGCTTACAAATTGAAAACAAATTTAAAGATTGTGGTTTTGAACGTTTAATATTTACGATTCATCCATTTGGAATTGAAAATGAAATACCGGGTAAATGTTCGAATGCTAATTATGGTTTACGAATGGCTGTTGAACAAATGGTCACAGAACAGCAAGAAAAATTTGAACCGGAACATGTCTTGGTGACAACATGTGATGCTGATTCACAATTTCATCCACAATATTTGGCAGCATTAACATCAAAATATTTACATGATAAACAGCCGCTAACAACCATCTATCAATCACCATTATTTTATAATTGGAATTTAGATGGTCTATCTTTTGTAACACGCGTTACCGGTATTCTTAGAAGTACATTAATGTTAGGAGCATTGATACCATTTAATATAAACACAATGAGTATCTTCTCATTTTCATTACGTTTAGCGATCGATGGTAATTATGTTCATCCAGCCTATCAGATGGACGATATTATTTGTCTAATTCGATGGATGGGCGTTACGCAGCGACGTTTAAAAGTGAGAATGATACCTGTACCCGTTCTAAGTGGTCCGACATGTGGTAACACAATTGAACAAGAAATTATGGAATGGGCCAGACAAGCACGACGTTGGACAATTGGAGCAGCTGAAGTATTTCATTATTATGTAATTAAAGCAAAACGAATGCCTTGTCTATCAGCTCTTTCATGGGGTATGTGTTTTCTTATATATTACGGTATTCTTTTGTGCACAAGTGGTTTGTATGGTTTGACATCCATATTGTCTATGTTTTTAATTATTAAAAATGTACCATTATCAATAAGTTATTTCATGTATGCATTATTCTGTATACAAATGTTAACATTTCTCGTAGCATTTATCATTGACATATTTATACCAAAATTATTAAATGTTAAAGAATGTATATGTTTTCCAAGAAATTTATTTCATTTTTTAACAACACCATTCGTTCTATTAGGTTATTCATTAGTGGAATTTTATGCTTTACACGAAGTCGTTATCCGTGGAAAAAAAGTTTGTAAACATGGTGCATCGAATAAAAATTCACTTGCCTCTTAAAACACAATCAGTTAATTCGTGCTAGTACACGCGTTATTTTTGAATTCTTCCAGTTGATCTGGAACTCTCATGTTTTATTTTTCTCCTTTTTATTAATTGATTTAGCAGTGTGTTAGCGATATTTAAAAGAAAATAAATTATATTATTTCTCATGATGAAATAGAGTGGAAATTGTAAGTTTAAATTCAGAAGCTGAAGTAATATTATACAATCAATCTCTCATTTATAATAAATTGTTTGTCGAGATTACTCTATATAGAGATCGCAATGTTCCTTAAAATTCCAGTACTGTAATATTCCTGTTAACGAATGATCGGAAGTATCTTTCTAGAGAACTTTTCGACGGCTTGTTGAACTGATTATCTGCATTGTAAATTAACTATAACCTAATTCGTAGAGCTGCCGTTACTGGAAGATTGGGAGGTATGCTCCCGTTCCGCAAAAGAAAATTAATAATCCTTGATTTTTCTCAGCAGAAAATTTTTTTCTTCCGTTCTCCGAAAAAAATTGTTGTCTTAATGAAGCAGCTCCGAAAGTCTGACTGGTCTTGGAAACTTATTTAGGCTGCAGTTGAAAAATCTTTGTTTTCACCTGGATTCCTCTTATACAGACAGCTGTAGAAGAAAATCTTTTTAGATACGCTTGCTACAAGGAAAAAATTTAAAATGACTATTTTTTATCCATAATTCTGTTGCTCGCCAACGTAACCAACAGAACAATTTGTACGAGATGAGCGGGCTAGAGAGCAAAGAGTGAATCAAATGCAATTTTTATTTGATCTCTGTATAACTTGTTCTTTGATGACTTTTTTCCTTCGGAGGCAGTGGGAACATGTGGACCGCGGGAAGGACGCTCCCACGGTTTCTAGAAATGTTCTTTTTCGCAGTAAAAATAATGATCTTCAACTCTGCCTCTACGAGAACAGTATTCGCTCCCACGATTTTCAAACTCGTCTGCCGCTTCTGCTTTTTCTGGTACTATTTGTGATAGAGAAAAGTGAAAATGTTATAGATATTTAAAGAAAGGTTAGACTAAATGTGATTCACTTAAGCGAAAGTATTAATACTTGACACAAAAAGAACAAAACATCAACTACCCTGGGGCAGATTGAACATATTTCCTTTTCGCTTTTATAACTTTAATGGAGCTCCATTTTTTGATAATTGTTTCTACGATTAATGATTTTTATGCATGGTTTTTCACCAGAATTAGGAGACAAAGGTGGCATGGGCTTAGAACATAATGTCCGACTAGTATCACTTCACAATGACTTTTTAGTTGATTCACATTAAGCCAGTGGACAAGTATGGGAGAGCACGAACAAATAGAGTAGTCCCGAATAGAGCAGTGATGTGATGTTCTATGTTACACCGTAATGTCGAGAATTATTTATAGAAAATGCTCGACGATTTTCGAAATGTCCATATATAAATTTTCTAGATTGTAGAATATTGAATTTACAAGAAACCCGGAAATTTGATTCGAGTTTCTATAAATAATTCCCAGGATATAAATGAAAACGGCATATTAGTATCAATGAATAGAATAATATTCCCCGCATAAGGATAAGATATGAAGGAAAACGGCATGGAACCTTTCCTCGCCAGAATGAGCCCAAACTACTTCGGAATATCAACTACTGCTCTATTTTGCATGCTGAATCTGATTTTGTACTGAAGATTAGTAAAAAAAGTGTTCTCTTACTTCCAAAAAATTCTAGAAAACTTTTTAAAAAACCAAACTATTTTCTTTTCGCTTTTATAACTTTAATGGAGATCCATTTTTTATTATTATAGTTAAATACTTTTCTTTTGTAATAAACTTCATTTATTTCCAAACATTTCGATTGATTAGTTCAATCTTCATCAGTGGATACAAACAATTAATTAAATTAAATTAAAATACACAAATTGAAGAATATTTCTTATTTAATAATACATAGGGAATTTTTGCGAGGCTTCTTAACTGAGATCACTTTTTTGACAAAATGTGTAACATAAAAATTAAGATCAAAGAAACATCACATGGCGGGAAGCGCAAAATGAGAGTGAGTAGAAAAATAGTGATCTCAATTAAGAATGAGCCGAATTTTGATATGTATACAGTAGATGATAAAAACCTGTATCGTGACAAGTATCTTTAACCTTACAGAAAATATAAAAAATGTATGAAATATAACACTTGCACAATATGAACCGTTTTTCATGAATTGAAAAAACTTTTCTGTATTTATTATAACTCAAAAACTAAAGCATAAATAGTAGTGAGTTGACTGTCGACTGTATTGACAGTCAAATTCTATTTTTTTAACAAAAACTAAAATTTTTTATATTTTAAAAATAATATTCATGATCAGTAAGAGATTTTACATCGAACTTAGACAGATAGATATCAATAAAAACAATTATTAATAATCTGTCTAATCATTATTAGACAGATAGATAGCAAGATATCGAAAGAGAGAAGCGTTCTGCCATAGAAAAAGTACACGTGATGTATAATGTGATTAATTAGTATACAAAAGTTTGAGGAGTAACGAAGTTATTGTTTTTTTATTAGTTTATAATGTTCATCGAACTCGGAGTTTAAGAAACTGTTGTAATAAGAATATAATTTCAAAATAAATAGTTTAGAGGGAAAAATCAACATAGATAACCATTTTTCGGTCGTTCGCCAACTAGATGCCAATTGATTGAACTAATTACTGATCAATTCTGTTCTATCGTCAAAGAAGAGAAAATTAGAAAATTTTTCTTATTATTATCTTTATCTAATACTAACTTAAGTTTATTAATCCTAACATAATATGCTGATGAAAACGTATTATGTATCTATATAGTTATTGAACTATTATTAATCATCATATTAATAGAAAAAGTGAGTGGTTGGTGTTAAGCGATATATATTTTATCTATTATGATAAATATATTTTTTTCCGTTTAAATGCAGCCGTGGGCAAAATAGTTTTTTTTCAAATTAACAGTTAGAGGAGAGAAAAAAAAATGAACATTAAATTGTGTTATATTACTTTATAAAGTGAGTTAACTAAGTAAAATGACAAAAGTCTTATTATCAAAATTTTAAGATATTCTAAGATTTATCCAGTAGAATCTTACGAGAAATACTTAGAATATGATCTTCATTCTTAAACTTTAAATACATTGAAAATTTTTTTCGACGTTCCTTTACTAACATAAACTAAAAGCAAATAAGTAGTTATAATTTTATTATCAGGTAATAATTTCAACAGAAACACTAATGTAACAGCAACTAATTTGAGAATTCATTTACGTTTTTGCTTATTAAAATGTAATATTAAAACATTTTGCATCATAACATCGTGTTCTTTTTCAAGAGCTCGGAAATTCAATCTGATAAAACTCAAACAAGAAAGTGGTTAGATTCTCTTAAAAATGTATGTAATCCGAGAAATAATATATATGAGAGCGTGTGTGTGTGTGAAGAGCTCGGATTGGATGATACAATTGTTAAATTATTTCAAATAGACAAAAAATGGAACGAATTTGAGAAGAAAAAGAGAGAGAAAAATAAAAATCATTTCTTTGTTAAGTGACGAAATGAGCCCACTATCGTTGTTTCGCACTTAATTCCCAGATTGTTGCACTGACACGTACTCTATCGTATTAGTGTAATGATTGTGACAGTGTGTATATGGGGAAAACAATGATGTGGTCCTAGAAGTGATTTCTTGAGCAAGGTGTATCGAAAACGCTCTACAAAAATAAACCAGATAGCATTTCTCAAACTGACGTTTTTTTCACACAGACACGCAAAATGGCAGATTCTTCTACAACTATCACCATACGTGTTAACGCTCAAACTGCTAATTAATGATAAATCATCGGTTTCATTTCTCTTTTCAACCATTAGAACTAATTTAAGAGTGGCTCTTTCAGAAGAATAATTGAAAAAGTGTAATTTTTATCGACATTTTTGCTGCAATTATTATTAAGGCAATGGGACGGCACTGCAGAAACAACAATTCCTGTAAAAAATACAAAAACAACAGAACTATAAAATTGTGCTGAATTGTGAAAGCACACAGATATATTGCTAAATCTTATCAAAAATACAAGTCAGATCATAAGTATACCAAATCCTCTATAGTTGAACAAAACAGTTCCACAGAAATTCCTACAATACCATTGAGCACTCATTATCACAAGTAATGCTACTATCAATGTTGATAATAACAGCCGATAATCGATGTATTAAATGTTGAAATTACAATCGAGTATAATCATAGTTTCTCTGGCTTGTTAGAAGACTAGTACATGATTAGTAAATATACAGGAGGAGCTTCAGTAATTGATCTAAAGAATTCTATGAATCTTCTGTTTAGGAATAATTGACAGTTAGTAACGAGATCTTCTTGTTCAACTATAGAGGATTTGGTATACTTATGATCTGACTTGTATTTTTGATAAGATTTAGCAATATATCTGTGTGCTTTCACAATTCAGCACAATTTTATAGTTCTGTTGTTTTTGTATTTTTTACAGGAATTGTTGTTTCTGCAGTGCCGTCCCATTGCCTTAATAATAATTGCAGCAAAAATGTCGATAAAAATTACACTTTTTCAATTATTCTTCTGAAAGAGCCACTCTTAAATTAGTTCTAATGGTTGAAAAGAGAAATGAAACCGATGATTTATCATTAATTAGCAGTTTGAGCGTTAACACGTATGGTGATAGTTGTAGAAGAATCTGCCATTTTGCGTGTCTGTGTGAAAAAAACGTCAGTTTGAGAAATGCTATCTGGTTTATTTTTGTAGAGCGTTTTCGATACACCTTGCTCAAGAAATCACTTCTAGGACCACATCATTGTTTTCCCCATATACACACTGTCACAATCATTACACTAATACGATAGAGTACGTGTCAGTGCAACAATCTGGGAATTAAGTGCGAAACAACGATAGTGGGCTCATTTCGTCACTTAACAAAGAAATGATTTTTATTTTTCTCTCTCTTTTTCTT